ATATATATTTCTATTTTTGTTGTTATCTCATTGTCAATCAAATTAGTTTTACATATTTCCGCTGTTACATCATACAGCTATCTATGAAGCATCACCCTAATTCTCTGTAAATTCCCACTGCACCTGAAGAAGGCTGGTTTGGCCAGCCGAAATATAGTGCTCCGTCTTAAAATTTACTTATCTACGTTCTATCGGTCTTGCCTCTATATTTATACGTGATATATAGTATTTGAGTGGCGCGGTAGATATCGCCTTTATTGCATACATTAATCATTTTATGCCTTCCTCAAGATAAGGCTGTTTCGTTACGACTTTGATACTCGCTTTATAGCATTCTTTTGTGCCTTGAAAGATGGCTACCATTGCTTTATTGTTATACGCAGATTCGAGCTTGGCTCTGGCCCTGCTATTCTCAGATCCTCGTTACCAGTCAACGACGGAGAGTGGCACTTAATCGAGGTTTTCAGGTAAGGAAGCCTGCGCACCGAAGCAAGTCTGTACTTTTCCCGTAGTCATGACGTTGGTCGAGGGTTAGCACCAAGATCCCTCGCATCCTAGACTGACGTATGACCATATGGCCACTTTGAACCCTCGTGTGTGGAGAAATTGGGGATAATTTATCGTCTCTCTTGCATGTTTTTTAGGAGGTACATGGACGGCTCCTTAAAAGTTGATAATCAAGAACCAGTCAATGGAACCTCTGTCTTAGGAAGTAGGGGGCTGAATATCAAGGGATCTATATTTGTGGGTAAGTAGCTTTGTAAAGAAGAAAGGCTGATAGTTTCTAAAGAAACTGTTTGGGGCTGCGTCGGTGGGGGTAACGAAATGTAGTAAAGTAAGACTTAATTTATTGAGGATAGCACGTGATAGTGCACAAACACAACGTTGAAACGGTAAATTGGCCGCCGTTACAATTATAAAAGCTGACGTTTCGAGCGTTAGCCCTTCGTCGGAGCGTTAGCCCTTCGTCTTTTGCTCCGACGAAGGGCTAACGCTCAAAACGTCAGCTTTTTTATAATCGTAACGTTAGCCAATTTACCATTTCAACTTTGTTGATATATTCAAATTATTTTGTAAAGAAGAGTTTACCTGACTGTCAAGGAAGATGTTCTAGTTTTGAGAAGACCCAAGCCAACTGACAACTGCAATAAGTACAAAAATATACTCTACTCCTCACCAGCTATCCTACATTCGTTGTACTCCAAAAAAACCCTCCTTGCCGGGCTTCGATGATTTCAAGAAGTGCAGTACTTTCAATATAAGGCTATAAGAAGCCATCAGTCATGAGTTTCACTGAGAAAAAAAAAATTCCAAGGCATTCCGAATTAAAGAAGGAAAAAGGGCGAAAGCAGGATTTATTTCCCCATACGGGATCCCACACTTACGTATGATTGGCTTAAGGGAAATGTCGCGTTGTTTGATAACTATTAACTCTTACTTATCCGATAAAGAGGGATCCCATGTACTTTCAGACCCTCAGCCCTCACAACGGAAATAAAGAATTAAATCGTTGCATTTCTTATCAACACTTAATTTGTAATGTCTCATAACAGGAGGAGGTGAGAACGTCGCGGAAATGACTTACAACAAATACGATACCAGCTTCACTGGCTGTGTAAGGAACGTTTACTTCAAGACCAGGAAAATTAAACTTCAAGCTGACGCTACTGTTGGCTGGAACGTTATTCCCTGTGACAGCTAGCTCTTTAAATTCTATATGTGACTAACAACCCATGCTACCTGAGGATAAATTCTTTAAATTAAGCAGCTGTAGGGTTGTTTTTCATTCTGGAATATGAATGGTAAACTTGAACGCGTTTTTCGCGTTTCAATTTGTTTAGCCTTGTAAGCTCTACGGATAATGCCTAGCATGTCAAAATGTTCAACGCTAACTTAATGATGCTTTAGGCTGGGCGTTTAAACTAAGGAAAATCGAGTTTTCCATGTTTTTCCGAGTTTTTGAATTTTCCATTTGGAGAAAGTGAATTATTGATGAAAGTCTTCGGTGGAATGAACACACCGATGGAAGGCACGGTTTATCATTAATCTTGCTAATTTTAGCCATTAATATTTGAAGTAGTGTTTCCTTCCGCACTTCAGCCAGAAGTCGAGGCGTTGGGCCCCTTTTGCTAGACTTTAAAAATCTTAGGATCCGCTGATGGAGTGTCGTGCGAACATCAATTTTTTAATTTGTTCCTTTTGAATTCTATATCATTGTAACCATAAGAAATTCGCTATAGATTCATACAAAAAGAAATACGATATGAAGAGATTGTTCGCTTTTTTTTTCCTCAACCACAGTGCGCCACAAGATGTGCAACCTACCTATCGCTTGCCGGTATATTCATGTATATCTTAAATACTAAATACTAGGAATTCTTCTTGTGTATTATAGATTTCATTTCAACGACTTTTGAAAATGCAGAAGGCCTCGAACATTCAAAAATGTTAAAGCCGTTAACCGTGGCTAGTTACAACAAGCAATTAATTGTATCAGGATGGGTGTACTTTTTATAGCTCGAAGTGTAATCGTCTTATTTTGTAAAGGTAACTGGTGGAATGTGTCTCCAAGATTTCCGCTTTCTATTTATGTTGGCTTTTCCATGTTGATTATAGGCTGAGCATGTTATCTATCACCAGGCGAACATGTTTTCTCAAACGATTTATTAGAAGTCAATATCCCTCTGTACATGTACCTTATGAACACTGGGGTCTCGTAATCAGCTTTTGCTTTTGTTGTCTCCACCAGAAATATTCTTGTCTATGTATACTCTCGAATGCAGCAATTTATAAATATTTCAAACAAATAAAGCAAAAAAAAAAAGACAAAATCATAATAACAAGAGGAAGTGAGAAGAAGTGGAGTCAACGTTTTATCAAGTTAATAAAAGGAGTATTTCTATTAGAAATGAGTTAACAATGTATAGCTCTCCCATACCTAGTCACACTTCCCCTTTCAACTCACGCCCTGCTGTTTAGAGAATTATAAGAAGAGAAAGGTTTTAAACTATGAAAAGCTAGAAGCTCACGTTTAAAAGTATAAAATAAATTCACACTTGTAGTGTCCAGGTAGTCGTTCTAAGGGAGGAACATCATTAAATCTCAACCCAATGCTGGCTTCACTAAAAGAAGATGTTGAGAGTATTTGGGAGCGTCTGAAAAACTCCAAGCAGTCCTCTGGTGAATGGAGGAATTGTAAATCGAGGACAACGGGCTTCGCGATTTCATTTCGTCCTTGAGAGAGGGAAACAAGATATAAAGTAAGGGACACCTTTTCATTTGCCTTGCAAATCTTTTCGAGAGCTGAAAGCAGTCAACCAAACTCCTGGTCATAGTCGATCAAAACGTCAAACATTTCTAACAGAGTAGAACAGATCCAGTTAATGACGAGGAGTCAAAAAATACCTTTCGCCAATACAAATTCTGATCATAACAAATGGCAACTCGTTAGCCATAAAAAGAAAAATAATGAAACACGAAAACAAAGGAACAATAAGGATGGGGCACAGTCGGATGTCAATGTCTTTTTGTCAAGTTTTTTGTGGAAGATTGTACTGTTGCCGGAAAAATTTCGTTTGGCGTAACCTATTACCAATTCTTACTCTTCTTTTGTTGCATTTTCATTTAGGCCTTTTGTTCTACGCAAATAACTTTCATCAGTATTCTGTTACTTTTTTCCTGTATATTTTTCTTTTGTTTATATCGCTAGTGCAAGTTCTTCACCGCATATTTTATTCGTTCGAATCTAACGTTCAACAGTTTACACTGTGTCGATCACCGATTTTACATCTTAATTTTCGATTGGTCCCGGATCTCTTACAACGTTTGGAAGTGTCTTTCGCTGTCCTTTATTTTTGTTTCCTCTTTTGTAAAATTCTTTTCATAATTGCAGTAGCTTATAACTTTTAATCTGGTCATAGCAACCCCTTCGATTTGAATGACGTTTGGTTTTGCCGTTTTGGAGGTGAATTTGGACCGAAACTAGTATTTTTGGCTAGCTCATGTAAAGTCCTGTTAACTGGAGACTCCATGATAAAAAATATCCATGGTACCAAGCCAAAAAAACCCTTTGGCCATTGAGTGGTGGTCAATTTATTCTCTGGCGCCACTATAATAGATGTGAAGGATCTCCGGAGTATTCAGCGGACCGAGTTGTTCCTTACGTCGGCACTAACGACCTTAGAGGTAAAGAACCGTTGGAAATTGCCAAAACGATCGGAGACCTCATCTGATGCCACTGAGGACTGAATTCAATGGAGCAGCGAAAAAAGTGAACAAGCATCTTAAACATCACAGAAAATGAACCAAACAAAGGTGGGCCGCATCTCGATTTTAAGGTAATAATTTTTTTTGATAACTTTAAAAAAAGTCTAGTTTTGAAATGTTACGTACTCTCCATGAATCCCGTACCTGCTCATTGCACTAAATCCAACACTGAATCCCGTAAACTGAATGAAAATGGTGTAAAGAGCCTACCTCACTAGTGCCACCTCAACGTGGTTTTGAATTAGTCTCTTTGAATATCAATAAACTAACATCTCAGAAGAGCTAAGAGTTTTTCTGGCACTAAACGAAATGGATATGTTATCGATCGGCGAGATTAAGCTCGATGAGACTGTAGAAGACAATGAATCTCGATATCCTGGGCGACGATATAGTTCGACGTGACAGAAACATAAACGGTGGAGGAAGAGTCAAACTTATGCTCTTAACCAACAGACTGCATGCAACTTAAGGGACTGACAACAAACTCGAAGTGCCATTACTGCAGATAAACTATTACAAAGATTGCTATAGTCTCAGTAGCGCCACCCCTTGGAATAGTTTTCCTAGCGACATTAGATAAACAGAGTCCCATGGGCTGTTTAAACGGCTTATCAAACGAGTTCCTTAGGCACAGCAATCGTTGAAAGAAGCCTTTAGTTGGTAAGGACGTTTTACTTTTCTTCTTTTCAATGCTTTTTTCAATTTGTACATATATGTAGATACATATTTTATTTCATATACACTGAGATTTACACGGAAGATATATTTTCACAGTCGTTCGCTATCGATTTTTCAAATGTGTCGGTCAGGAAGGAAAAAACCTTAGCCGTGGATAAAAAAGGTTACTTATTTTAAAGATTATCTAAAGCCATGTGACCTGACTCTTCTAATGATCAGAAGAGTTACCATGCCCGCCAAATTTTTGAGAGTAGATATTTCAAATTGGGAATCTAAATCTTTTGGCGAATTGAAAGTGGGGGCATAGAAATTTCCAACGCGGACTCAATCCTCGAACCCCATGACCCAAGAAATAAAAATAATAATTATTTGGGGTTCACCCCGTGGGGCCCTGCCATCAGGTTTTCAAATGATGCGAGGGGTCTGGGAACAGACATATGATAGTCGTACGATCAAGCTCGGCTTTCGAACTAGATCGACAGCGGCTGGGGTGTGATGTGGCGAGGAAAGCATCCTTTAGGTAGCATCCTTGGGATAAATCTCTGGCATCCTCTAGGTAGCATCCTTTGGATAAATCTCTGGCTAACTATGCAAGAGAAAGGTTGAGGCTCTTAAACTGGAGGATGGGTTTATTTTTGGTGGAAAAATCAACATCTCTTCCGAAGTGTCAAAGGTTTGTTCACCTGGAATGTTAATCTAAATCAGTACGCGTCTCTTGTAGATCTTGTACTGCTTCGGTTGACTGTTGACTTGAGGAACATTTGAATTGAAAATTTGGTGCCGGTCGGGTTTTAGCCAGTGATGGGGGAATCGTAATGTCGCGTGGACGACGACCTCGAAGCGAAGGTATCCGATAGTTAGGTTCCCTCCCGTTTACAGTGTTTGACGCCGAAGGCGAAGATTGTGGAAAATACAGACACTTGGCGAGCTGAACGAGGTGAGTCGTCATATTTATGATATAGATTAGTTTTTATTCCCACAAAGACAGGGGTGTCATTCACGTTTTCAGCAGAAGGGCAACTGGTTTTCACAGGCGGGCAAAACTTTTGGAATGTAATTTCTTTGTAAGACAAACTTTCCTCCAGCAGATCGTCAAACCAGGTGGGCAAAACCTTCCTCTCAACCGGTCAATTTCTCCGATGCCCGGCCCTTAATGAAACCCTCGCAAACATTCTAATTCTTACTGTACAGTTTATAACACAGAGAAGTGGTGTTTAATTCCAAGCTCCAATATCTCCCCCTCACCGGGGCAACCCACTCGTATTTCATAGTCGTCCGTGCCCGAGGTGTTAGGAATTTATAATTCCAATGGTGAATTAGGGGCCTTGCCCTATAGGTTCAAGTTATGCAAGGGGTCAGAGAAGAAACTTATTATACTGCTACAACCCCCTCCAATGAAATCTACAACAATAGGTCAGGGTCAGTGATCTTACCTTGTACAAAAAATTTGATAATCAAATCTTGCACTTGGGGCTGGGGATTTCAATTGAATTTTGGCCTATGGGGTAAGAGTTTCAATAAATGGTACAATGTGTAAACTAGTCAGTGTGTTTTTTCACAGTAGTGATGTTGCACTTACTTTACATGTGTTTGTCAAAACAATGTAAGAGCGTTTCCAAGTTTTCTACTAGAGAAACATTTGTTGAGGTATGCACAAATGCAATACNAGTTTCCTGTGCATACCTCAGTTTATCCAAAGTCATTGTACATGAACCCAACTTGCATAAAATTGTCTTCAGAGCTTGTATTGTTTGAGTGTTGCAATATTAATTCCTCTGCAAGACATTTTTTATTATCATGTTTATTACAAAATGTTCATGAAAATACACAGGGGGTAATGCAGTTTCCTGTGCATACCTCAGTTTATCCAAAGTCATTGTACATGAACCCAACTTGCATAAAATTGTCTTCAGAGCTTGTATTGTTTGAGTGTTGCAATATTAATTCCTCTGCAAGACATTTTTTATTATCATGTTTATTACAAAATGTTCATGAAAATACACAGGGGGTAATGCAGTTTCCTGTGCATACCTCAGTTTATCCAAAGTCATTGTACATGAACCCAACTTGCATAAAATTGTCTTCAGAGCTTGTATTGTTTCGTTCATTTAAGGTTCCTTCATTAGTACAAAACACGGACTTGTTCAAGCTAATACTCAGGCTAAAGGAAAGAGTATTTCGTAAGCTGAAAGCAAACTGCACGTGATGGGAGAAAGGAAATGTGAGTAACTGTAGTGGAAGCAGATTTAGCTATATTAAGTTGTGATTCACTGTATATTCCATGAAATATTAATGAAGAGCGTTAAAGATTAATGTGTCTCAACTTGGCTGGTTTGATTAGAAAGTTGTAAAATTTCATATAGATGGGTTACCTAACAAACACCAAGGGTTTTAAAAATATTTCTCCACAAGTTTTTGTGATAAAAAGAATTCTATCAATTACACGGAAAGAGCCATGCTGTAAACAACAGAATAAAATTTTGTCTAAATTTGGGAGAGCCAGTTGCTTCCACAACGAAGTGGATGTTTCTTGTCCCTTGAAAAAGGTTAGACACATGAAAAGCAATTCCATATGAACTTAATGGTGAGTTTTTGGAAGAGTTTTCAGTGTCTGAAGGAACAGCTCTCTGCTGGACTTCAGTTGTATGTTATGAACAAAGTGAATTATGAGCTGGCCAAAAAGAATTCAATCACATGGTAGGCAACCATTTGAGAGCATGATATTTAATTCAATTTACTTTCTTTACAAAAGGTAAAATTTCAGATTCTCTATTCAGGGCATCTGACAGGATGAGGTGGTGCGGATCCGCATGATTCACTTACTTCTGTATCCACTGCATCCTTGGGGCATTTTTCCATGTAAAACTAGAAAATTTCTACATATAAGCGAGAAAGCAACTGCTTACCATCTTCAGAAGCAAAAATAGCTTAACTTATACTGTGTTGCTTAAAGCAACACAGTATCTTG